ATCCTTTTTCTATAATAGATTGTCAATTCTAAATCAAAGAATTACAATGGTTAAATCATGTGCATGTCTGAAGTGTGATTATCTTTTCATAGTATCTAGTACTGTATTCATTACTTCCCCGTTTCTGGTTTCGCGCAACTGCGTTGCGCAGCTACTTATTAAAGATATGTGATTTTTATAATAAATTACTATGATGAATTTTTTATAATTAAAATAAAAAAAATTTCATCAAGACATTTTAAAGTTTTAAAAAAACTTACTACTGGCACCCATATATTGACTGTTCAAAAAAAATTTTTTTTTAGCAAATCAAAATCCCATGTTTTTTACCTCCCTGTTTAGACTTGTCGATCATTTGTAGTAAGAATCTGTTAATTATTTAATATAATAGCGATAATTTTACATATCGATATACATTGTACTATCAAAAGTCAAAAGTCTCTGGCGTCACCCGTATATCATGGGGAAATCGCTGTGCGCACTTGAAATTTATAATTAACTTTATAATTTGATTAGCTCGTGATTTTAGTACTTCAATTTTCTCATTAAGATACACTAGTGTCTAAAATTAATGTGCGGAAGGAGCGAAGCGCACGTTAAAAAAAATTTCCGCACATATACTTTAAAATTATGGATGAAATACGCACATTAAAATTTTAAATTCATATATCGATATGTTTTAAGCTTTAATGTGCGCTATATTTATTATGCAGCTTAGGCCGCTTGCAATTGAATTTTCGGTTAACATCACTTTTAGAACTCTTGGAAGGGGGGGATAAAATGAAACGAACATATAGAATGAACAAATATGAGACAATTTGATCGGTCGATGTAAATCAAGAGATTGGTGAAAGTTATCCAGCGTTTTGATTGGTTGTTCATTTCTCGGGGGAGCATTCAGCTGAGGGGGTGATGTTAACCGAAAAATCAACTTCGAACAGCCTTACTAATAATCCAAATAAATTATAAAATATTTGTGAAACAAATAAAGCTTTTCTCGAAGCAATTTTTATTGCGCACATTAAAAAAATTTTAGGGTGCTGCCGCCCATAGTTTTAATAGATACACTAAAATAGTCAAAATCATGACTTGTTACACGAATTTGGTCGGCCATACTGTTAGGTTGTAAGTTAGTAGCCCCGTCCCATATCACGTTATTTTTTTAATTTTATCTATTTTCTTTATTATTATTCCGATATTTTCTTTTATTATTTGTTTTATTTTATTTATTCTTCTTTCCTGTAAATAGTTATTATTTATATTTTCGTCCTGCTCATACCTTTGTTTACGTTTAAGAACCGTGGTAACGACTAATGTAAACATTAGGGCGAGCAGTCGGGCTGATTGTTTAAGCCATAATGCTAAAAAGATTTACAAATTCGTAAAAACGATAAACATTGAGGTGAGCAGTGTGGCTTTGTACTACGTGAGGCTTAACCACGACTGCTCACTAGCGAGAAGGATAAGCTTAGCGTTAAAGAGTAAATTAGCATTATCATAGTTCTCCCTAAATGAATGAATTTTGTATAAATATGGGTCCTTTTCGCTCTTCCGAAAGGACCAGTTATCGATTAACTAAAAATAAATAAACCACTATTTACCTTAAATCAAATATTTTTAATTTTCCTAATTGTTAAATTCCCTAATCCCGCTATAATTAATAATCGATTCCTCACCAAGTTTGTTAAATTATTGAATAAAGGATACGCTGGGTCTCTTAATTAACATAAAGTAGTACAGATTTTAATGGTTATACTAGTTAATATTTAATCTAGCAAAGAAGTCTAGATACAAAGAATGCAGATTGAATAGATGTGAATAAATCTGTTATATAATACAACATAGTGCTTTGCATTAGTAGCAAAACTAACTTGGCTTGGTAGCTAACTAAATTAAGAGGATCTACTTCGTAAAACATTTAGAAGAACTAGAGGCTTAACCTGATAAAAAACTATAGCAGAAACTAGGTTCATATGAATATCGAATAAGTGTATATGCAAGCTAGATTAGAATAAAATGTAGTATAGTTGTGTATTATAACACCCATCTATTAGAGAGCATTGAAGTAGAACTTATCTGAGTAAGACCTAAGCCTATAATGATAAAGTTTGTGACTAATGTTAGCTTAGTGCTTCTCAAAGTGAAATAGTACAAAGTTTAAGGTTAACTTAAAAGTATAATAAATTTGGAAGTAATGTTGCATCAGAGAGTTTAAATAGGTAATCTTCTAATAGATTTCAGATATAGTAGCTAGTGTAAAACCTTTGAGTGGACTACTTAAATTAGACAATCTAAAATTGTATGTATGGCTAGTTGTACTTTCACAATATGTATCATGTTTCTAATATAAAAACTAATAAAAGTTTGGCCGATAGCATTTGTATAAAATAAAAAAATAAAAAATAAATAAAAATAAAAATAAAAAATAAAAACAAGATAATAAATATTTTCTTAACTTTGAGTAAAAGTTTATTAATTAATTAATTTTATAAATTTTATTATTATTTGAATTCTACATAATTTACAAAAAATCAGTAATAGACTATACAAATTGATTTTAAAAAAAGCTATAGTAGCTGATTTAAAATTTCATATTATAAAATTTTAGAACATATAAAAAACTTTGACCCAGCCGGGTTATCACTGAAATAAAATATAACTAGCACTAACCTAACCCTAACCCTAAATCGGGCTAAATAGTCAGTGAAGTGGTCTGTTAAATAACTTTCGGAGAATCGTCTATATATTGTTATTGTATGGCCTTATGGGCGAAAAAAATTTTTTTATTCGAATTCTACATAATTCTAAAAAATTCGGTTTTGAAAGTTTTAAAAAAATTAAAATTTTATTGGTTAAATAAAATGGTGCGATAATATCGGTCGATAATTTTTTTTAGAATATATATTACTTTTTTAAAAAAATAGTTACCGTTACAGATAAGAACATTAAATAATTTCGGATTTTTAACACTAGTTAGTACCGGTACGTAAAAAGAAATCACTATATGGCTGATGGAGTTTCTTAACGTGACAATAACTAGTTAAACTCATTAAATTACATAATAAACGGCACCCGGTATACTATCCGGAACCGGAGCTTTATTTCCGGACTCCGATTTGCTGCGATATATAAAAAGAGAATTAGCCACATTATTAATTTCATTTCCCACATTTTACACGTAACTTATAAGTTGAAAAGTAGCAAATGTCTTACGGTACAAGTACAAGTCAAGGATCTTATCCAGGTCCCCCACCAGCGTATAGCTCTGTTGGAGCTTCACATGAACCATTCATAGCCAGAGAATGGGAAAATGACGACGTTCCTGATGATTTTAAGTATGGAGTATCAGTTTCAGAATGCAGCGTTAGCATTCGAATGGGTTGGTATTTTTTCTTTTTTATGTTCTTGATCATTAAATTTAAAGCTACAAGTTATTGAGAGTTAACTGTTCTTATAGCATTTGTGCGCAAGGTCTATTCGATTTTGTTGGCGCAAATTGGGTTAACGACCGTCATAGCAGCAATCTTTATGTTTAATGAAAGTATCAGAAACTGGGTTCAACAGAGGTATGAGACGTTAATTCCATGGACATTTTATTATAAAAATTTTGGATTTTGTTAACAATGATTATATTTAACAGTTCCGTTCTTTTGATCGTTTCCATGATTGCGACATTTGTACTTTTATTGCTTCTTATGTGGAAACGTCGTTCATATCCTACTAATTTTATGCTATTGGCTGCTTTTACTCTTGCCGAGGGTTATTCCATTGGAACACTTGGTTTGTATTCATAAATATATAACCTATCTACCTTCATATTAGAATCTTTTGCATTAAAAATCATTTAAATAATAGTGTAATGAAATTTTATTTTATTAGTGACCTTTTTCGATTCTGTCATTGTGCTACAGGCTTTTATTATCACAACTGGTATTTTCATCGCCCTATCTCTGTTTACCGCCCAATCTAAATATGATTTCAGTGGAATGGGTCCCTTGTAAGCTTATTAATAGAGCGCCGCTGTTCAATTTTACACGTCGACTTTAATTTTTTTTATCTATACTTACATCGCCTCTCAATTTAGCTTATTCGCAGGTCTTTGGGTTGTTATAATTGCAGGAGTTATTGGCATTTTCTTTCCGTTCTCTGGAGCTGTGGATCTTGTTATTGCAGCTGGTACAGCCATTCTCTTTTGTGGATTTATTATTTATGACACTTTTAATATAATGAAAAAAACAAGTCCCGAAGAATATGTGATTGCAGCAGTTGAACTTTATTTGGATTTCATCAACTTATTTATCGCAATCCTAAGAATCTTGAACGACTTGAACCGGGATTAATCTTAGCGTGATCTTTTGGTAAAATCACGAATTAGTCATTTTATGTTGAAGTTATTACAAGTTTTTTTTTTTTTTTGCAACCAACGAATTTAAGAATCATCAAGAGTAATTACTCTATAAATAGTATTTTGTAAATTTTTTTTTGATTTAAATTTAGTACGAGAAGCGTGCTTGTAAAATAAATATACTGTGTTAAAGATTAATAAAAAAGCTATTGACTGTAATCATTAATAAAAAAAGAAAATTTATAATAAGATGTTTCAAATAAGTTACATGAAAACTCAGGTTGGAATTACAGTGTTGGCAGCGATAGAACAAATCAAGCTTTTTTGCTGCGTAAGATATAAAAATTTTTATTAAACACATTTTCTTAATTTTCTTAATATATATAATATTAGGTTAAAGAACTAAATAAATATTTAAAAAGGCTTTTAAAACTTAATAATAAAAATTTTCATATAATATTGCAATAGAATAGTGAAAAAAAGCCACTAGAACAAAGGAATGACGTCTTTGGATATTTGTATTGTATGTATGATTGTGTACACTCAAAGGTTAAAAAGAGAAGCGACAATCGCGAAGAAGAACAAGCCGCTACATACACAGTAAGTACAATATTTATCCTCAGGATCATAACTACGAGCCAATGGTAACATGCCGTGCAAGATAACGTAAAGTAAAGCACCGGTGACAATAGCAAAAAGAAATCCCGAAACAGCTTGATTCCATACAGTAATAAAAATAACATAGCCTAGAACAGCGCCAAGCATTTGTGAAGTTACACCAACAGACGCGGCTATCAAAAAAGCTTTCCATCTAGAACCGGTGGCATAATATATTGGTAAAGAAATGATAAGACCTTCAGGAATTTTGCTGGAAAATATAAACATTTTTGTTAATCAAAAGGTTAAGAACGATTTTAAATAAAACAAAAATATTTACTGTAAGGATAGTGCAATTGCATATATAACACCGATTTTAGCATTTGCAATGGCAGTTGCAAAAGCGGATAATCCTTCCGGAAAATTGCTAGAAATAAATAAATATTTTTAAAAAAAAATTTCTTTTAACTGAGGAAAAGATGATAGCTTACTGAATAGCCAAAGCAACGGCAATCTGAATGCCCAAACTTTTTAGTCTTTGAGCATCATGGGGATTTACGACTGTCGACGTATTCTCGTCCACGTTTTTTTCCGTGTCAACTTTTTTTACATCAATTGATTCACTTTGGGTTTCAAAATTTTCATGCAGGTCATGTTTGTGATAGCGACCAAAAATGAGTTTTCCTATCATGATTAATAAAATCGTTGCAACGAATATCGAAGCGGCTACGATGTCAGCGTATTTTGGATTAAAAAGACCAGATTCTTGGAATGATGATTTTGCCTCTGGGTAAAGATCGCCTAATGTGAGGAATATTAATATTCCAGCAGAAAATGATAACGAGCCAGCGAGAAAACCCTTTGATTGTGTGATTCGAAAGTTTCTACACCATGGAATATATGGAAATAAAAAATCAAGTAATGGTGTAAAGGAACCTAGTGCAGAGGCGAATGCTGCAAGGGCAGTAAGCCCAAATCCAAGGCCTACGTTACCGGGAGCAAAAGTCGTTTTGTCTGTGGCATAAACTGTTGGTGGAGGAGGAGGAATTGTGGTATCACCGCTTGTTGACCCATGAGCTGTGATAATTGTCGAGGCAAATGCGACAACCAATACTGAAGAAATTAATAAAGTCTTAATTGTTTTTAGTAATAACATGAGAGAATGAATATATAAAAAATAACAAAAATTTTGAATATCAAATTTTGAAGATGGAAAGATGAAATAAACTGTTTAAATAGATAGGATTTTATCTTTCAAATTAGAGATTATTCGTTATATTGCATTATATTTCATCGACGGAAGTGGAGTCATTGTTGCCGTTGCACATGAGTTTCACGAGAAAAAAAGGGGTATGATCTAAATCTAGTTTATAATCTAGGCCTTGGTTAATCCGAAATAAAGTATTTACAAAAATGAAAATTTGTGAAAAATCATTACACAAACTTACACAAACACGATAATTCCTTACACAAACACGATTAATCTTTACACAAATTACACAAACACGATTGTTTTATCCTCAATGTAGATTCTAAAGTTTCAGCTGTATTATCCAAACTTTCAAGAATTCAATCACTAAGAAAAAGTTCATATAAGTCTACTGTTATGGCAATCAAATACTAAACTTAATGAGTAAAATAGTTGGCTCTTCTAATTGTTTTCCTCTTTCAGACTTTATCTTTACAATCTTACTAGCGATTTTGTAAGAAAAATGCAGGAACCTGACACTAGTGTTTCGATCCGTAATCCGAGATCTGAATTGATCCTTAAATCTAGATAAATTCGGCTATCCAAATCAGAGATGTTTACTCAGATTGGTCAAAGAACTTAAATAACGGACCTAAGGATGCGCCTAAAAGTTAGTTTTAATATATAATCTGAGAGGATTTAATTCGAATTTAATATAATCTGAATGGTCTGTCAGAAATAGGATCGAAACACTACCTGACACAAGTAATATTGACAAAGAATATATGTATCAGATATACATAATGATGTGCCGCGCACAGATGAATTCTATCAACCAATCAGATCGCTAGAATCAACTATACGCACTATACTGGGGTGTTGCACATCAAATGATTCAGTATAGTGCAGGACTATATGGGCTAGGTGCTAGAAAAAGGGACGAAATTGACAAAATAAAAGATCTTCGGAAAATCAATTTTTATGTTATAAATCTTATAATAAATCATAAGAAAATACAA